TTTTTTTTTTAAATAATGCAAATTGTGAGCTTTGTTTATTTAGTTGGGGATGAGTGGATTTCTGATTGTTTGGTGTAAAAATGGAATGTTTGTGCAGATGTGGGAAGATCTTATATTGAAGGCTAAAGATGGAGGGTTAGATGTTATTGACACTTATGTGTTTTGGAATGGGCATGAGCCTTCACCTGGCAATGTGAGTGGTTCTTGAATTTCTGTTCAGCAGCATTGAATTTTGTTAACATTCTTGTGCCAATTTTAAATTTTTCCTATGTTATGCTGTAGTATAATTTTAAAGGTAGATACGATCTTGTTCGGTTTGTTAAGACTGCTCAAAAAGTCGGGCTTTTCGTTCATCTGCGAATCGGGCCTTATGTGTGTGCAGAATGGAATTACGGGTAATAATCTTCGCTTTCTCCGGATTGTTTCGCGTTTAGTTTTGTCGATTTTGAATCTTGAGTTAGGATCCACCAACTTTTAAGTCTTATGTATCACTCTCCCAATGCAGAGGATTTCCTGTGTGGCTGAAATATGTGCCTGGTATTAGCTTTAGAACAGACAACGAGCCCTTTAAGGTTCTCGACTCTAGCATTCCGTGTCATTTTCATTTTTTTAACAATTCTAGTTCAGGCAGCTTTTAGAAATCGCCATTTGATTTTAGCAAGTGTTATTTATTTCTGTGGGAAAATTATGGAGTACAGGCAGCAATGCAACAGTTCACTCAGAAAATCGTGGGCATGATGAAAAGTGAGAAGCTGTTCCAATCACAAGGAGGTCCCATTATATTATCTCAAGTATGCAATCACCGAATATTGTCTAATTATGATTTTACATGTGTTTACAAACTATAATTAGTTGCCTTCGATTCTTGTTGAGTAGATTGAGAATGAATATGGTGCACAAAGGAGGGCACTTGGGTCGGCTGGTGAGGCATATATGAATTGGGCAGCGAAAATGGCCGTCGGTTTGGACACTGGAGTTCCGTGGGTCATGTGCAAAGACGATAATGCCCCTGATCCTTTGGTTTGTATCTCTTATTGTCTATGTTGTGAATTTGTTTCCTCCGTTTTGCATCTATGGAGAGACTTCTAATTTTTTGTTTCAAATTTAATAGATAAATACATGCAATGGCTTTTATTGCGACTCGTTCACTCCAAACAGACCTTATAAGCCAACTATGTGGACTGAAGCTTGGACTGGATGGTAATATACATGTCACATGGAAGTATTAGTTTTTGGCACCACTATTTTAGACACCAACTTATTGTTTTATATCCTAATTATGTTTTCGTTTTCACAAAAAAATGATCAGGTTCAATGAGTTTGGGGGTACTGTTCATCAACGTCCAGTTCAGGATCTCGCGTTTGCAGTTGCTAGGTTCATTCAGAAGGGTGGTTCATACATAAACTATTACATGGTAAGGTTTTTTTCATTATTATTATTGAAAAGAAAAAATAGAAAAGAATTTGTTTCAAATATTGAATCTTGCATGGAATTGAACAGTACCATGGAGGCACTAATTTCGGGCGCACGGCTGGAGGTCCTTTTGTTACGACTAGCTATGACTATGATGCCCCAATCGATGAATATGGTGAGGAAAACTGTTAATTTATTTAATACTTAACTGAAACGAACATTGTGTTTCTCTTGTAAATGATTCTTTGGATAGTATCAAAATTGTTTTTCTATTTTCTGAATAAAACCTGTCATTATTAACTTGTAACATGTTAATATGTTATGGGAAACTCTCATTTGCTCGAATTAGAGTTATAATGCTCTTGCTTTTTTTTTTTTTT